AAATAGTTGTTAGCTCCTAAATCAAGGCGGCCGTGCGGCTGCCTTTAGCCTTACAGGGCTGATCGCACGATGATAAGTGCCAAGCAACCCTCGGCGAACAAGTTCTAAGACCATAGGAGGAGAGTGGGAGCCAGGTGGGGTGGGATTTTGGCCATCCAAGTGCCTGAAATTTTCGGTGATTGCTAGCCACCCGAGATTCAACGTAGCCAAGCCTCTGAGCTGTCACGCCAAGCACGCATGTTTTACTTCTAAAGTGTATTGCTTGACAGCGCAGCGCTAATAAACAGGGGCTTATGTCTTTTTCCTGACAGCACAAGGCCGATTGCAAGGTGTTCAATTCAACCGACCGATAGATATGATGTGCCACAACATCCGCAAAGAGTGCTCCACAACACATGACTGATGGGTAAAAAGGGTACCAGGGGCGCAAACCTTACGGGAGGATAACCTCCTGATCGCAGTTTCACGGGAGGTGCTCCCAAGAACCACAATCATATGTATATCAGTCTTCTTCACCGAGGTATGCTTGGTACACGCCCCCTCGCTCCACTATGGCTTACAACGCGGACCATTCGATTATGTATCTTTCGCCAGTCCCCCAAGACATGAATCAATACGACCCATACGAAGACACTAAAGACGAGTACAAGGAGGAACAAATACCTACCGTAGCGAATGTCACGAAATCGAGTGCATTGTTGACCCTCCAGAGCATATATTTTGGCATTTCAGGCATGCTTGGATTCGGGGAAAAGTTCAGTTTGCTCTTCTGTAAGTATGGTCACGTTGTTTGTTGTTTATTCGTGCTCACTCTGTTTGGTTAAGTTATCCTTTTTGGAGGTGCTCTGCTTGGATTTTGTCTTGCTCGAGTTATCATGATGGCTCCATCTAATGTTGAAACAATGACAGTCCCTGGTGCGTACGAAATATTGTTGGCGAGATCTCCACCTAGTTCTATTGTGTTTTAGGTGAATGGTACTGGTACCGCAAGCCCCTTTTCAAGCAATGCATATTCATTCACATTTACCTCAACATAAGTACGCTGCTGTCTATCAATGATCACTGAAGATATCCTCACTTGGTGCGAATAGTTGCAGGCATTTTTGCTGTCTTTCAGTTCATCCCTATGATCCGTCGTGTGAGCTACCTATATAGTGAACCCTCGATGTCAGCAGCTGTAACTTGACTATTTTATTGACAACAGCGGAAGATTATCCTCCATCGCATCAACGGCTACTTTGTCCTATCTACTCTGTTACCAGCTACTATTGCTGGTTCAATTGTAGCGCGTAGGTCGTTTGGAGGAGAGCTGAATTCGCAGGCCGCTTTTTTCATCTTAGGATCGATGGTTGGATATGCGGCATTCATGGGCATCTCCAACGTTCGAAGAACCCGAAAACATCGTAAATGGATGCTTCGTAAGAGCTCAAGGCGCATATACATAGAGGCAGAACACTGAAACGCTATTCAAATAGGTACTGTCGCGTATACCTCGAGTGCTATCACCAGTCGTGTTCTCGGGATCATAGCGAGAACTATTGTCTCTGTTAGCGCACCTTATTATGCAGTATGCCTCACTTCTATTTGCCCCGCTCGGCTCGGTGAATTATTACACACTGAGTTGGCTTACTTTTTAGGTATGGTCGTGCGACGAAGTCTCGTTCCTCCTGAAAAATGCATCTACGGCAACGTCCATGTTTCCCGCCTGTGCCATATCGGAGGGAGACGATCCCAAATTGGTCCATGTCACGGTCCATGCGTCCATCCACGAAGACCCGATTAATTTTGGCTCGGCGCAACGGGTGTCGTATGGTGAGTCCGGCTCTGATTTTCCCGGCCATCCATTACCGTTTCCAGAGTAACGGGGTTCTCTCGAACAGGGATGGCATTGTGGCTGGCGATACTAATACATGCAGTTGCAGTCGAAATATATGTAAGCCGATGAAGTCTGTTTTTCAGACGGCTTAGGATTTACTCTGCTGTTCTAACAGATACGAGGAACGGAGTCATACCAATGGCCGCCCCGCTCGCTCGAAGCAGTGCACCACCACAATGAAGAAAACCTTGGTAAATCTTAGTGCTTTTACTTGAGCGGCCTCCAAGACCGAACTCCGAGCCAGTCGTAATTTCCACCTGTACTTTGTTTCACGAAATGTTACTGTATTATCCGATTGCGCTCTAGTGTCCGACTATCGCGGTACGCGGCTTGAAACAAGCAGTATTCTGCACACGATCTCACAAATTTCACTGAGACTACTTCTACCCGCCTTTCCTTGTACCCTATACGCCTACAGCTTTGGGTTTTGGGTTCATTTAGCACTCTAGACGTTACTTGGCCATGAATGACAGGCTCAATACGTCTAAAAGCCTCACTGGTAAATACCGGCGATCAATGAATGCCATTTTGAACCTCGGTTACCGTGTTTCTCCTCGGAAATATACCAGTGGAAGCACATTCAACCAGTATTTACATTCTTGGCATGGGACATGGTTTAGAACGTAGATAATTTAAAATATATGCGTTCGATTTCAAACTCAGGATACATGCGTGCGTCGACTGCCTGGGGCTGGGGATAACTTACAAAACAGCGTCGCGTCGACGACTGAGAGGACGAAGACTGGTGCTAAGGTCCGAATGCTGCAGCGGCTGTTTAAATTTCAGAGCTATTGTTGGCCGATTTCGAACAAGACCGCTTAGCTCAGTGGTAGAGCGTGTGATTCCAGTGACCGGATTGAACATTAAATCCAGGTTGGCGTCCACAAGGTCGTCCGTTCAATCCGGGCAGTGGTCAAGCTTTTTGCAGAGTCCATCTTGCTCTTTTTCGTTAGAATTTGCCTCTAGTATAGCCAGAGTTATGTCCTGACTAGTAAATTTCAAAGAACAGCCCGTAGCTCCACATATACAAATTGAGTAGCTATGAAAGTTGCATCATTCGATAGAGCGATGTGAGAGCTATCGGGCGCATGTAGCTGTTCTCTAAATGCTCAAAAATTGGTGGAGATATGGATGAAACATTACGGAAAGACAATTTAACCAGTTCCATAGCTAGGCGCCAATTTACCAATGTGCCCTGCGGTGCTCCCTGTCTAGGAGGGCTCAGGCTAAGCTGATAGCATGCAAGGACCGATACAACTAAGACCTATACTATACGGGTTCACTAGAGTGCTGGCTGTCCTGGTCTGGGAGCTGAGTATGTGAGGAATAGCCGCAAAAGCACCTGGATCTCGGCTGCCGTTACACACTAGCACCACGCTATAACCACGCATATATGTGCCTGGATATTCAACAAGCGCCTTAGAGATCTAACAAGGCTGATTGTAGGTCAAAGGGGTTATATTTGACTGCATATACTGTAGCTGGGAGGCGCATATAGGGGGATACACCAGCATATAGCCAGGTCGTCCGACAGGTCCAGCGGCCGCTGTGGGCTGAATTTTTTCGCGAGTAACGCGTAGGTTTTCTGCAGGTGAATAAGCCACTAATAGCAAGAAATGGATGACAGTGATTTTTTGAACATTGTTTTGCTTGTTATGTAAATTACAAATGCTTGGCCCAATCAAAGCTTCAGTGAATTCAATAAGTTTCCCGATAATTAGTGAAGATTACGCCCGAATATAACGCCAAAACGTTTCAGAGTTACCTATTTCATGCTTGTGTTGCAAGGCCTTGAAGGCAGGTCAAGACTTCCCGTGTTGATGGGCGTTCGTGAGGATTACGACACCAGCAGCTGTTCAGCAGATGCCACAATGGTTCTGGGAATACACTTGTAATCCGCGTTGGCAGTATTCCATCCATCACCGCACGGATCACTTGAGGTTCGTTTCTAAGTTCAGAAAACGGGAGCTTGCCACTGAATATTTCCTACGGATAGACGATTAGATGGTCAAGGTTGAACAGGGTTGTTTACTCACATATAGCGTCTGGATTTAGGTCAGCGTCAATAACACATCTTTCACAACACTGGCACTTACCATTCCCAACGAATATACATCGCTTTGAGCATTCGGCCTTTGACACACCATCTCCGGAGCTACAGGAAACAGTTGCTCGTACGCCTGAAGTTCCATTAGTACATATCAATAGAAGCTAAACATACACCTACCATCCACCGGGCCGTGCCTCCTACACCTGAAGAAGACGACCGCTCCATCGAGTCTTCGGCTCGAACCATTTGTGCCAGTCCAAAGTCGGTCAGCTTTGGGATCCCATTTGCGTCAACGACAACATTGACCTGCACCATGGTTAGATTCACTTCACCAAGTTTTCGTTCGACTCACTGCTTTGAGGTCACCGTGAACCTAAAATATGATAAGCTACGTGATATACGCGTGGGAATGCACTTACAACACGTTTTGGATGCTCGTGAAGATACGCTAATCCAGCGCATATATTGATCGCCTGCATCTGGTTAGTATTCTTGGTGTTCAAATTCCAACAATAAACCCACCAGTTGGTACCGATCGACGCCTGGATTGCGCTGAATGTACTCTTGTACATTCCCGTTGGGCATAAACTCGGAGACCATGCCAAGCTCGTTGTTGATCACGCATAGGCCGATGAGCGGTAGGACGTTTTCATGGTCCAGGAAGGACCACACCCGAATCTCTTTCAGGGATTTCTAATGATTGGCTATAATTAGCTGTTTTAGGATTAGTATCGGAAACCTCATAATCACCTTCTCAAGCCTGTGCCGACCTGTGTCTCGCGCCGATGTGTAAAACCGCAGACATTTGATCGCAATTCGAGTCCCATTTCGTAGGTACGCGCGACGAACGTCGCCGAATGCCCCCCTGGCGAATGGATGGGACTCGATTGATCCAATATCAATGTCAGGTCCTACGTCGCTCGCGTAGCCTTTGGCAAAGGGATAAGTGTCCACAACCGAGTGGCCTTCTCAACAGTCAGCTTCAGACTTGGAGCTCAAAAATGAAGACTCACCCAGCGTAGAAGGACCAGGCTCCGAGCACGGGATCGAGCATGCTGAATATGGAGGCGGAAACTGGTCAGGAAGATCCCTCGCTTGTTCGAAGTAGGCTGCTCCAGGATGTGTTTCCGTTGGAGCAATTACTTGAATGGTTGGACCTGCTCCCAAAGCGAGTTTAGCTTTTGCCTTCGGATCGTCACAAGGTGGTACAATTTCCGCAGGGCTATTGGTTATGGTGGGAGTAGCGGGTGGCACAGAATAGGGATTCGCAATGGTTGCGTCCTGGTGAACCGAACCCCGACTAGAGGGGACCAGACTCCCAGGGCGATAGATGGCATCGTCCGAAGAAAGTGGAGTACTGTCAATCTGCCTGCGCAACGAAATCCTTGACCATAATTGACAAAATCGGTCGGCCTCGCTATGGTATGTTGGTGAGTTGGGTACGACTATAAGGTCTATGGCACTTACTCTTGAGATTGTCTGTCATGAATAACTGTTGTCAAGACAGCTACCAGCCGATCTATTGCGACCATTTCAATCGCATGGGATGAAATTACCCGCTCGAGACTCTTGAGGAACTCTGGCTGAGAAGCCTGTACCACTACAACCGAGTTTGCCTTCTTCATAAGTATGGCCCAGAGCTAAAGCAAGAGTTAGCATGCACAACACGCCCGTGGCCAGGCAACTTACTCGTGCTGCTGAGAGTTGCTGGAAGCCATCCCCGGTGCTGTTTTAGACACATTAACCTCGCAGACAATGGTACAACGAAAAACATACATGATACACCGAATCACGGATTTCAGCACACAGTCTGCGTTTGCGGTATGAGTTGCAGCGCTCCTACAAACCTCCTCCACGAGCGACCAGTCATCCAAACCACGGACAATCACGCCCGCTACACCAATAGGTTACTCAGGCACAATAAAACTAATGCTGTTACTCACCAGTAAGTTCTGCTAACTGAGGATCTGCTTCCTGCAGTACTCGTGACTTTCGGATCGAGCGAAACGCTGAGCCAACCCGTTTTAGAGACCAAGGCTTAGAGTCCCGAGGTTCCTTCCAACCGACGTTAGACGTTGAGGTCGCATATAGTATAGGTACCTACCCCGGAATGAACCGAATTCTCGTATCCTTGACTCTCAAAGTCTGAAGGCCGCCGCAAGACAGGACTATGGGCTGACCACGGAGCCGACGAGGCCGGGGTACCTGGGTAAGCCGAGGACCCAACGGTTGTCGCACTGCGAGCCAACGCAGGCGTGTTTGGGCTTGCAGGGGACTGGCACGTAGATACCGTACTATGAGGAACATTGAGTGAAGGACTGGGAACAGAGGTGTCGATGCGTAGCTGGAAGCCCCTCGGGGCTTGCGAGGGTCCAAGGTTGGGCATACTGAACAACTAGCAACGAGAGCTGCACCCCGATGAGGTGTGCCTGGAGAAAGGGGACGTTGTAGCCTGCCTGAGCAGATATTGACACTGTGAGGCCATAATAAAGGATCGCTGTCGTGGACAGATGCCGGCTCCGGTCGATGACTCG